TTTTTTTGAGACAGAGTCTCGCTCTGTCACCCAGGCTGGAGGGCAGTGGCATAATCTTGGCTCACTGAAACTTCCATCTCCTGGGTTCAAGTGATTCTCCTGCCTCAGCCTCTGAAGTAGCTGGGACTACAGGTATGTGCTACCATGCCTAGCTAATTTTTGTATTTTTAGCAGAGATAGGGTTTCACCATATTAGCCAGGATGGTCTTGATCTCCTGACCTTGTGATCCACCCACCTCGGCCTCCCAAAGCATTGGAATTACAGGCATGAGCCACTGCACCTGGCCCATCATTCCTTTTTATGGCCAAATAATATATTTTGTGGATAATATCAGATTTTATTTATCCATTTATCAATTGATAGACATTTGCATTGTTTCCACTTTTTTGGCTATAATGAATAGTGCTGTATACACATGTGTGTACAACTTTTCTGGGTAGACGTATGTTTTCATTTCTCTTGGGTTTATGCATCTGAGACAGATTGTGTCCCTGGGCTTGAAATGTTATAGAATGGATCTGGCCAAACATAATGACTCTCTATTTTATTTTTGAAAATTGAAAGATTCTGCAATAATGAAATTAATTGGTCAGAAACCAGCAGTGAAAACCATCCTTTTTGGTTTGGGGTCGGGGGTTGTTTGGCTTTTGTTTGTTTATTTATTTTTAAATATAAGGTTTCGCTCTGTCACCAGGCTGGAGTGCAGTGGCATGATCATAGATCCCTTATGTAGCATATTTATTATATACTCTCATAATATCAGTCACTAATGTGAAAATCATTTTAAACTGTTGACCCTATTCTAGGGAGAATCCAAAAGTCTTCTTAGGTCAAATGCAACCAAAGAATATAATTAGAGAAATAGGAATGACAAAATGGTTAGCTTTTTAAAAGTTACAGATGATTCCTCTAATACCATACTACTACACCCATTTTCAAAGTGCCTTCATTGCTACCTTCAGTGGGCCTGAAAACACAGCCAGTGAGTGCTGCCTCTGCCTAGCAGATCTCACCAACAGGTCTCTCATTAACATCCACGATAATACAAAACTGAGACTGGTCTCAAGTGTACCTTTCACAGGACGGACATAAATTTTAATGTAGTATAGAGTAAAAGCAAATGTATTAATGTTTCACAATTGCTTATTGAAAAGAGGGAGATACTATCTCTAGTGAGTAAGAGATAGTATCTAGCAGTCTCTCTTTCCTTTTTAAGTCAATAATCATGTAATTTCTATGTCTAATTAGAGTCATTTAATGAATCAGAACTTTCTTTTACAAGTCACTATGGTAGAAGGAATCCTCTCTGTCAACATTAGAATGGAGAATAATTATCCTTTGGTTTGTAAATTTCACCAGGCGATCTCCAACAGCATCTCCAAGCAATGTTCATCCTACTACGCCCAGAAGACAACATCAGGCTGGTAAGTTAGTGGTGTCATTATAATTTTCTTCCTCAAAAAAGACTGTCTAAGATAGCCAACATTAAACAGTCATTTTTACATCCCAGTACAGTGCTGGGAACTATGTGAAGAAAGAATAATGGCATTTCCCCATCATCGAGGTGCAATTGGGGGTATCATCTAATGTGGAGTATTGTGAAATAATTTAATGTTTTAAGACTGTTGGTAAGCACCAGTTTGTAAATTATTAACTATAATAACAGTTGAAGTTCAGAAAATGGAGAAAGAACCTGGGGATTTGACCTAGATGTGGAAGGTTTATGTAGTCAGTGGAGCCTGAGCTGACTCTTGAAAGATGATGAGATTTGGCTTGGTAGAAAGAAATTATTCTAGGTAAGGACTTAACAAGCAAAAACATACATAGGAAAGGATAAGGAGGGAGTGAAATGGCCAAGGATTGATACTGGCTTCAGACTTGGGAGACGTGGACTTAGGTCCTTACTAATTATATGATACTGGACAAGTTACTTTACCCTGTCTGTGCCCATTTCCTCATCTCCTGACTACCTCTCACATTGAGAGGATCAACTGGACGTGAAAACATACTGAATAGTGCAAAGTGCTGTCTAAGTATGGGTATTATTATTATTATTGGGAAGATAGAGACTGGAAAACAAGGCAGGCAAATATGGATTTAGTGCTGTAAACTGGAGGTCTCAGACTGGCAGTGTGTAGGCCAGACATTTAGTTTGGATCACAGTGTTTTTTTAAAAAAAAAGGAAGCCAGAATTTTAAAGTTAGGTGAGGTCTGGCATGGGTTCTTAATTTACCATAATCTTCACATTTCCTATTGCCTTCTTAAGTCAGTGTCATCATTTGTCATCATTCCTGCATTGTTGTAGTAGTACCTCCAATAAATCTAGGAAAACAAAACTGAGATGAGCATGTTTATTTGTGGAAATTGGAAAGTATTTCTACCTATGTAAAATTCACGTGGCTTACTTCCCTTATTTATATTTCCCATCTGACCCTCTCAGTGGTGTCCAATCATCTGGCTTCCCTGGACCATATTGGAAGAAGAATTGTCTTGGGCCACACATAAAATACACTAACACTAACGATAGTTGATTGGCTTAAAGAAAAAAAAATCACAATATCTTATAATGTTTTCAAAAGTTTATAAATTTACGTTGGGCCACATTGATAGCCATCCTGGGCTCCATGTGACCCATGGGCCATGGGTTGGACAAGCTTGCTGCTTGCTTTCTTACTCACTAGAGATAGTATCTCCCTCTTTTCAATAAGCAATTGTGAAACATTACGGGTTTTTGAGCCAAGGAAAGCCATGGGACAGCTATAGTAGTTAAGGAAGATTCCTCAGAAGCTAATGCAGATTAGAGATGAGGAAAAGGTCATTTTAAATCAGGGAGGCCTGTTGGGTAGTTATGGTAGTAATCCAGGTATGTGGTAATGAGTCCTTTGGTTAGACTATATAAAAATTTAAGGAATCCTTTCATAGTTATTTTATTCTTAATTTTAATTTTTTAAATGTTTTATATCCTAACCAAAAGTAACATTATACATTTATATAAATCTTATCTGTATTTCTTTCTATATTTCATTCTTTAATAATGATTTAAGGCTGGGCACGGTGGCTCACCCTTGTAATCCCAACACTTTGGGAGGCTGAGAGATAGCCCATATCGCACCTATTATAATAGTATTAAATAGTAGTCTTGGGCGAGGCGCAGTGGCTCATGCCTGTAATCCCAGCACTTTGGGAGGCCAAGGCAGACGGATCCCTTGAGGTCAGGACTTCAAGACCAGCCTGGCCAACATGGTGAAACCCTGTCTCTACTAAAAAAACAAAAATGGGGCTGGGCGAAATGGCTCACGCCTGTAATCCCAGCACTTTGGGAGGCTGAGGCAGGCAGATCATCAAAGGTCAGGAGTTTGAGACCAGCCTGGCCAACATGTTGAAACTACCGCTCTACTAAAAATACAAAAATTAGCTGGGTGTGGTGACACGTGCCTGTAATCCCAGCTACTCAGGAGAATGAGGCAGGAGAATCACTTGAACCCAGGAGGTGGAGGTTGCAGTGAGCCAAGATCACGCCATTGCACTACAGCCTAGGTGACAGGGTGAAACTCCGCTTCGAAACAAAACAAAAATTAACTAGGCATGTTGGCACACACCCTGTAGTCCCAGCTACTCGTGAGACTAAGGCAGCAGAATTGCTTAAACCTGAGAGGCTAAGGTTGCAGTGAGCCGAGATCATACCATTACACTCCAACCTGGGTGACAGAGCGAGACTATGTCTCAAAAAATAATAATAATAACATTGTTATTATTTAAAAGGGAACAAAGTGATGCAATTCTTATAGTATTAATAATCTGGAGTGGCTGGGGTGTGGTGGCTCATGCTCATAATCCCAGCACTTTGGGAGGCCAAGGCAGGAGGATCACTTGAGCCCAGGAGTTCAAGACCAGCCTGGGCAACATGACAAAACCCTGTCTCTACAAAAAGTAGAAAATTAGCTGGGCATAGTTGCATGCCCCAACAGTTCCAGCTACTTGGGGAGGCTGAGGTGGGAGTATTGCCTGAGCCTGGCAGGTTAAGGCTGTAGTGAGCTATGATCATGCCACTGCACTCAGTCTGGGCAACAGTGCAAGACCATGTCTACCATCATCATCATCTAAAGCAATGATTCCCAAACTTTAAAGTATATCAGAATCACCTGGAGAGCTTTGTTAAATCACCGATTACTAGACTCCACACACAGAGATTGGTTAGTAAAGGGGAAGCAGAGATCATTTTGGGTTTTTTGTTTTTGTTTTGTTTTTTGAGACAGTCTCACTTTGTCACCAGGCTGGAGTGCAGTGGCGAGATCTTACCTCTCTGCAAACTTCGCCTCCCAGGTTCAAGCAGTTCTCCTGCCTTAGCCTCTCGCATAGCTGGGATTACAGATGTGCACCACCATGCCCAGCTAATTTTTTGTGTGTATTTTTAGTAGAGATAGGGTTTCACCATGCTGGCAGGATAGTCTTGATCTCCTGACCTTGTGATCTGCTCGCCTTGGCCTCCCAAAGTACTGGGATTACAGGCATGTGCCACCATGCCCGGATGATAATTTGTACTTTTAAGCCAGTTTTGAAACACACTGATGCTGCTGATCCAGGAATCGCACTTGGAGTACATCTCTTCTAAAACCCATAACAACAGTCACTTGCACATACTGGGTGCCCAGTAAATATTTGCTGATAGCTTTCAACATTTGTTTGGTAAAGCTAAAACTTTAAAGAGATCTAATATCACTTTATCGTTTTCTCATTGATAACCTTCTGGAGTTTGGTTTGAACCTCTAAATATTAAAATAATTTTAACTACATAGAGACTTAGAATAACATGAAGGAAGTAGTTACAAAGGCAGATCTGGCAATTAAATATTTTCTTACTAAAATATGCATCTTCAGCTGCTTTACATTTATAAAATATAAATTCAGAAAATGTAACTAATGCCTCTGAATTCAAAGTTCAAATGGCAAGCCATTTTACAGTTGTTTTGAATGGTTACAAACACATAGTCATTATGTTTCAGATTATTGAGTGAGTCATCTCCAAGAAAATGAGTCAATGCATTGTATGACTTTGGACAAATTAGCACTTTTCTAACTGAAAGGAGCATTTGTAGACTCAAAGCAAAGGCTTTTGTTTTGAGTTAAATTTGGAATGCTAAAACTCTTAAGATTTGTGCATAAGGTTAAAAGAAAAGTTTGATAGTCAACTGAAAGTCTTGCTTTTTTTCTTTTTGAGACAGAGAGTTGTTCTGTCACCCAAGCTGGAGTTTAGTGGCGTGATCTCGGCTCACTGCAACCTCCACCTCCTGGGTTCAAGTGATTCTCCTGTCTTAGCCTCTTGAGTAGCTGGAATTACAGGCATTTGGCACCATGCCCAGCTAATTTTTTGTATTTTTAGTAGAGACAGTTTCACCATGTTGGCCAGGCTGGTCTTGAACTCCTGACCTCAGGTGGTCTGCCCACCTCAGCCTCCCAAAGTGCTGGGAGTACAGGAATAAGCCACTGTGCCTCGTCAAAAGTCTTGTCTTTATTATTATTATTATTATTATTATTATTATTATTTGAGACGGAGTCTCACTCTGTTGCCTGGCTGGAGTGCAGTGGCACAATCTCAGCTAACTGCAACCTCCATGTCCCAGGTTCAAGCAATTCTCCTGCCTCAGCCTCCCAAGTAGCTGGGATTGCAGATGCGTGCCATGCCCAGCTAATTTTTGTTTTTTTTTTAGTAGAGACAGGGTTTCACTTATGTTGGGCAGGATGGTTTCGATCTCTTGATCTTGTGATCCACCCACCTCGGCTTCCCAAAGTGCTGGAATTACAGGGGTGAGCCACTGTGTCTAGCTGCCTTTGTTTTTTAAATAACCCAAAGAAACCACACATTTTACTTTAGCATTGAAAATAGGACGAAGGCAATCTTTTCCTCCAGGGAAGCTCTGTGTTCCAAATACATTAATCAAGCATTAACTTTAGTACATAGTAAAATAAAGGAAGTGGTTTTATAGTACTCTTGCACATTACCAAAGATCAACCATTTAATTAAAATAATAAACTGGGAAATTAAGAATTTTCAGTACATTTGAAGTAACTTCAGTTGATATTCTTATCTGAAGCTGAAGTGCTGATAAGGTACAAAGAGGTCTTTTTTGAGTACTTTGCAGGAGAATTTAAGAAAATGAGGAGTTCTATGATTTTGGTTTTCATCATATGTTGCTTTCTAAAGTGGAAAGTGGTTTATTTTTTTCCAACTATCAATATATTACGTGGGGTTTTTTCCTCCCACACAATGCAAAAAGGTATAAATAAAAAAGTAAAAATCACTCTGTATTCTACACTCTGAGAAAATTATTCTTAGCAATTCGGATAAGTATCCTTCCACTTTTTAAAAAAAATATGTATATATAAGAAAGGTGGGTGGGTGGGTGGGGGGTGTGTGTGTGTGTTT